GGAAAGCTTATGAAGAAGGCTATCATAATCACCTCATAGATGGTAGTTGGAAACTTACAAAGGGCTCTCTTGTTTTAGTAAGAGGAAAGAAGACTCACGGTCTCTACATGACGAAAGCAAAACTAGTCCATGGAGATATGAATATTGCTGAAAATGAAGTCTCCACTGAGCTATGACATAAGCAGTTTGACAAAGCCATTGTCTATGAAAAAACTACAAGTATGCAAAAGGAAAGTGAGCATGGTGGACCCCCTCATGTAGTCGAGAGAGAGAGAGATTTGTTGGGTATTCCCTCTACGTAAGGGAACTTTCTCCTTTTAGGGGTAAGTGGGGACCACTTCCCACTAAGTTCCCACTAGTTTTTTATTTAAAAAGGGAGAAAGACAATATATATATATATATATAGAAAGAGTGAAACTTCTTGATGGGAAAAAATAGAGAAAATGAGTGAGGGAGAGACAAATGGGTTTCATTCCTTTATGCCTATGATCAAAACTTATTTGTGGTCTGATTAAACTGAAATTTCAGTATGTTATTCCTGGCGAAGAGAGCTACGTCTTGACTATAGCCGATCGTCCAGATTCCTTTTTGTTATTTTGTGTGTCCACTTTAGAGTGATGATGTTATTCAAGAATTATATGTGTTCTTGATATGTTGGTAACCTCTGGAGTTTGTTCTGGAAAAGATTGATTGTGTATCCCATTATTCTTCATAGTGGAAAGTTTCGACTAGACTAGGTTCCAGGGTTTTTTCCTTCACACTGAAGGGTTTTCCTCGTAAACAAATTATTGTGTTATATTGTCTAGTTTTTGTAGTGTGTGTGTGAGTTTTTAGAGCTGATTATTATTATTATTATTGTCATTTTAATTCTACACAAAAAGAGGTTGAAATATTTTTCGTTGCTTATTTATTACTGGCACAACCCCAACATTTACACCATGTTTCAGCCACATTATTCTTCCAAGAATGCAATTTAAATTGTGTTTTGATGAAAAATATGTGGTTAAAAATAAGGAAAAAATTTGAATTTGCTTATAATATTATTTTATTAAAAAATGCGTGATTGAAAATAAGAGAGGAAAATATATTTTAGAAGAATGGATATCAAACATAGTGTTATAAGTAAATTGAGTAGTAAATGAAAATATTTTAATTCATCATATTTTATTGTCTTGCACTTCCACGTTGAATCTCCGATAAAGTGCGAATCAAGGAAAGTTGTCTAGTCTGCCTTGTTCCCCCATATCATATTTATGATACTATAAATAAATATGGAAGATCATACATTCACAATTTTTAGAATTCGAAACCAAATACATAAGATACATTCACTTGGAAGATTATACATTCACATTTTTTTTAAAGTACTATTAAAACAAACCTGAGTTCATATGATCAAAGTCTCGTTGTCGACCTACAAAATGGTGGATGTGGAAGTGGTGATTCATTTGGGCGTTTGGTTTCTTCTTCCTTTTTCTGGTGAGGAAATTACATGGATCCAGGTATTTGAAAATCTCGGTACAAAAATCAGGGGAGGAGTTTTTTTAATCAAAATTCATGTATCTACAAACCCTAAATCATTTTCCTTCAATTTCTCTTCATATCTCTCTCTCTCTCTCTACCTACAGTCGACCATTTTTCTTCATATCTCCACTCTCTCTCTCACTCTCTACCCACTGTTGACCAACGCCTACCTTCGACTACCGCCCACCGTCGAAGACCACCACCCAAATCAACAATCCATCGACAGCGACAATCGAGGCAGAAGTGCATCAGCTCGATCTGAAATTTTCTCCTTCAAGACCACCGCTTGGAGCACCTGTCGCCGGTGCTACTGTAATGAAGAGGCGGTGCTGCTGTAATGAAGAGGTGAAGCAGATCCACCCACTCCGTCAGGCCGACGCATCCGTGGTGCTGTTGTAATGAAGAGGCGAAGTAAAAGCAACATTGTGGTGGGTGGGTTTGAATATTGTTTTGTGCGGTAGTGGTAATGGTGTTTGTGTGGTGGTGGATATGGCGGTTGGGGGTGGGTTTATATGGTGGCTATTTTGTGTTGGTGGTGGTGATAGTGTTTATGTGATAGCTGTTTTGTGGTGGCGGTGGTGGTGGCATTGGCAGTGCGGTAGAGGTGGCAGTGTCAATTATTTGATTAATTTGTGATCAACTATTTGGTTATCTGTGACCGTGGAAGAATCTGTGACCATTTAATTTGAAAATTTGTGATCGAAGAATAAATTGTGACCTATAATTTTTTTGTCTGTAACCGACTAATTTGGAAATCTGTGATCGACGAATAAACTGTGACCTTTAAATTTTTTGATCTGTGACCATTAAATAATCTGTGATCAATTAATTTGATAATATGTGACCAATAAATAAATTGTAACCTATAGTTACGTATATGTGACCAATTAATTGTATAAATATGATTTTATTGTATTTAATTAATAAATATATTTAATTAATTAAATATATACCTGAATTTTAAATTTTCAAACTATAAACCTGACTTGTGAATTGGTGTAAACAATACGCCCGAGTTATGATTTTTCCCCTTTTCTGGTTTGGTTGTGTGACTATTTGGTTTCTTCTTCCTTCTTTTTGGTTCGTCGTGTGAGTACATAAGAAAGGGTAAGGGTTTTGTATGTGGGTAGAGACGAGAGAGAAATGGGGTACGTGAGTAGGTAAAAGAGTTTATAAAGTAGAATTTTTGGAAAGTTTGAATTCCATGAAAATAAAATCCTATTCCTTTTAGAAAAAATATTTATTTTTTTTTTAAGGAAAATATGATCACGTGAACAAAGGTAAGAAAAATATTTTTAATAAAAAAGATTGTCATACAAACAACGCAAAAATAAGAATTTGCATGTAAAAAATTGGCGATCAAATGCAACCTTAAAAGAAAACATAAATTGAAAATGAATTTGTAACCTGGCAAATAGATTATAGCATTTTCAATATACTCTTTATTTTTAAAGAGCATATTCTATCATTTGGAGAGTATCTATAAATTTAAAGAGTTAAAATTTTAAAGTATTCCAACAAACTTTTTATATTTAAAACTTAATTTTATTTATTATTTTTGTTTATATTTTATTTTAACTAATTTTTCTTTAAATTATTTTATTGTTTTCTTACGTTGAAAATTGAAACTTTGAATACATTTAATTATAGAGAGTCATATTCACTCTCTAAATTAAAATATTAATTTAAAGAGTCTCGAGTATTATTTTAAATATTAACTCTTTAAAATAGGACCATCTCATGTTTAAGCCTATGTTTGAGCTCCATTCTTTCTCCTTTTTTTCCATTCATTTTTCTACAGTACTCATTTTCAACCATACATTTTCCAAATAAATTAATATTACACACAAATCTAAAACCTTTCATCACTTTTTCATCACACATTCTCCCATCAATCACTATTCACAAACTAAATTTTCCTAAAAATGGGGGCCAAACACCCACTAAAGGTCTTTGGATGTAATCTTACAAGATTCCTCTGGCTCTTATTCATTAAAATAAATCTCTCAAGAACAAAATAAAAGGGAAAATTGCGGCCGCGGTCCCAAACCTTTCATTTTGTTGCAGATTACACCCAAACCTTTAATTTTTGCAGTCGAAGTCCCAAACATTTATATGTAATAGCAGCGTCGATCCTAAACCTTTACTTGTTGCGGTAGAAGTCCCAAATATTTGTACATAATTGCAGCGTCGGTCCCAAACCTTTGTATGTAATTGCAGCGTCGGTCCCAAGCCGTGAATTCCGTCCGTAAAACCGTTAGTCAACGTTGAAACAGTAATTTTGACTCGAAAAAATTACAGCACCGGTCCCAAACCTTTCATTTTGTTGCAGATTACACCCAAACCTTTCATTTTTGC